AAAATACGGAGAATGAAACACGTATTTTAAAATCTTAACTTACACGAATATGCCTATTCTTTCAAATTATTTTTTTATCCCAAATTAGCCAGTTCATAACAAAGATTTTGTATAAAATAAATAAGTCTTGAAATAGTTTAGTCCTAATATAGAAATTTATTTTTGGAATAGATTTTAGAGAAGTTAGAGTCTAAATCTAGATCTTAGCGTCTACGTCTAGATTATAGATCTAGTTATTGCGTAGATTTAGATTTAGTCTAGATCTAGAATCTCTAGATCTAGAATCCAAATAAATAAAATAAATTTTATGAGTTTAGGCCGGAAAAACTGTATTGTATACATTTCATAGTGTACGTAGATCTAAATCAAATTTGAATGAAATAGTTCATTTCTTTTTATTCAAAACACAGCAGATGACGTCATTAGTTAATGTATAAGCAATAGCGACGTCACAGTTTTATGCGTTCTTTTTCACATGTATTAATGCTTTTCCGGTTGCATAAATAATACTGTTTCTCTACATTCGAATACGCCTTTAATTTTTATTTTTCTTCTTTAAGTAAAATTGTGGTTATACATTTAAAACATCTAACATATTATTTTCAACAAAAGTCCGTAAAAAGTTCTCGATATATCGCTGCCGATTCTGACGTGATGTCCGGCGAAAATTTTTTGCGGACAGAGAAAGAGAGAGAGAGAGAGAAGAGCGCACATGGCCTTTTATAAATTAGGATGAGAGTTTCGAGGGGTGAATTACCTTGCATTATTCTACATGAATATTGTATTTTATGTGATTTTGAATGTATTATATATGACATACTCTAAATATATATATATTATGTTATCTTCTCTTCCTCTTCATGCTTACCCCAGGTAACCGTACACTATTGGAGCGCTGATCGGGACCTAACCTCGGACTGTGGTCATGAGTCAAGTGAATTGCAGGTTAAGTACGCTACAGTCCAGTCACTTTACCTCCTCCCATCTACGGAGTTACATGTTGTATTTGGTGTTAAGGCGCTTACCAAAATATAAACAACATGATTGTATTAACGCACGTGTAGAGAGAAGGACTGTTTGACTGTATGTGAAAGTAATTGAAAACTTACTTTAAGTAACTATACTGTTACATGTTAACTACTAGTTTATTATGAAAATTGTATAAACAAATGGATTAATAGTAAGGATGTTTTAATAAAAATTGTATTGTGATTATGGTAGGTTAATGTTATTTGGTAAATACCTATTGATATATTTGTAACAATATATTTGTAACACTATATGTGTCTGAATGAATGTGTTAAAGCGGATGTTAATGAGTTTGTAAATTGTATTTTACAGCCGGTCAGCTTGGGGCAAGAAGATGCGGTGTTACAGAGGTGGAACACGTTTGACCAAGCCACCCTGACCACCAGTCGCCCACAAATACCAAACAAATCTAGTATTGTTTTGTTGTCTCACGATAGCATTTACTTTCCTATGTGTATATACTCTCTGTAAGCTTTAAAGTATTAAACAATTATAGTTCAAAGTCGTCTCCAACATTCCCACCAATAAATGACGTATAGCTCATCTTATACTGCTTCTTTATTTGTTACGATAAAACCTCTATAAATAGGCAGTAGTGCTTATCGAACTAACCCTCCAATGTCACTAAAAACAGGTGGACTCTACTTAATCTGCCTCAGTGTTTTGAAAATGTTCTTTACTTTTATTATTTTGCACTTCGCTACTGTCTATAAAGTGATAATGTTAATTAGTGTGACAAATCCACGAGTAGAGATGCTGATTTGTGTAAACTTTGAAATCACCTATTACAGCTATCTAATTATTTTTGAAAAGTGATTTTTATAGTTATTACACGCTTTGATAAGCTCATACTTTTCACACTTACGAATATGTTTGCAAACTACTTTATAACGTTAGCCACACTTGACTCTTTATAACTCATATTTTTTTAAAAATATATGTTTAATTACATACATTATTTCATAATGTTAATCATCTTTCACATACTTTAGAACGCTACCACACAGAGAATATGCATGCAATACAGGTGCCAGACCTATTTTAAGTACGCGCATGTGGGGAACACTAAATCCTGTTTCAAAAGTTGACTTCACCTTCTAAAGCAAAAGAAACTTGAAAACAACTCATGGACAAAAAAGCTATGGTTCGGGTTGTTCAGTAAATGTGTTGTAAAAATAATCTAAACCCTATATATAAGATTTCTATTCAGACTTCAATGTACCTCATACATAGATCACACAACTAATAAAGAAGTCCGAGAGCGATTGATGCATTTTAGAGGGTGCCTATTATTGTCAAACAAGAACATGAACATAAAATGGACATGTCACCACCAAAAGCCTATCAAAACAAAAATACAAAGCTTTGTGCCAGGAGGGAAAATAAAGGACTTCTCTGTTACAAAACTATTCATGGCACCATGGGACAGAGACAGTAGACAGACCATTATGAGAAAATCAACTGTTTTGCCACGACACCAGTTAGTGGTTAAGGGATGATGGATATATTCATTTAAAACTACACCATTGGGGAACTTAGTTTTCACACGAAGCCAATAAAAAGACAACGTCTGTCTGAGGTTCTCAGGTTTACTTTTATAAAATTATTAATCGTGAATCAAATTTAAAGTATAAAATAATTTAAAAGTCACGAATTTATTATCATAACTTTTTCTGCAGCATGTGTTTTGGGCATGAACGGAATAGATGGAATGTTTATATGATGCTTGTTGTGGCGGCTCTGAGTAAGATAGAAGGACTGTATGTTTACGTGTTACAGACACTATTGGGCCGACCTTATTATGATAACGTGTCTTTCTGATATACATTTCCCAATTGTAGTTTGTATATAGTTGGTTTGATATTTATAATTTATTAAGACATCAACATTTTTAGTAAGTTATATGTTTTAATGCATTTGTTTTTTGGTATTTTAAATTTACCGTTTTTTTTAGATTTAAAAGTGTACTTATATCCTGTTACACGTCTTTTTTTATTATTGAAAAACGAGTAATGTTTGGTTATTGTTTTATCCATCGGTTTATCTATTATAAACGCAAATTGGTCCATAAAAACTATAGGCTGACGTGTCCGAAACGATCTTTTTTACTTTCAGCTATGACAGTTTAGCTGTGTATGTTACATTTCTTGCGGATTATATAATGTTGATTTTTATTATTGTAATAAAATTATTGTAAAATCAGCATTACATGTTTTTCTATAATCAAATCATCATTTCTAAAATTGCCAAACTTATACTAAACAAGAACAAGTAGAGCATAACGAAAATAGGAGCCACACAACGAAAGAGTCCGGTTCAATTTAAACTGTAATAACCTATAATTAATAATGACACGCACATTGCTAATCAAATTCTATGACATTCTGATATGTTGATATATCTTATCAATTACAGGCACATTTTGTTTAGTGCTGTCAAATATTACCGTATGCTGCCATGTGTTGTATGTTGCTGTCACAATTTTCCCATTCTTTCATGTGTTGTATCGTGCTGTTCTGTACTGATTATGTGATACAATAGTCTCATTGAAAAATAAAACTAATTTTACTTCTGACTAAGCTACACATTTTCATCTAAAAAATGAAGACATTTTGTGTAGCCTGCACTGCTTCGTCAATTTAAGGCTAGTTAATGATTCATCCTACGATCGCAAACTTAAATCAGTACAGTTGGCAGGTCAATTATATTTCTTATGTAAAGAAATGCTTGATGTAAAAACTATGTTCACGATATATTAAAGATGTATGTATATGTTTATCTTTAATTGTTTCCACGTAAACATACTAAACAACTATAAATATAAAATTAGGCAACGGAACATTGCTCAAAACTATGGTATGTGACACATAGGACAGTAAATTGATCACGGGAGGTAACAATTAAAATTATCCACTTGATCAGTGAGAGTATGATTAAATACCTTGAAGCGATAATAAAAGAATTTTCTGATCTCAGTACTAAAATATTAAAAATGAATTTCTTTTCTTATATGTCATTGTGATGCTACATATTTCTTAAATAAACTAACACGAAGAATTGTATTAGATAAAATATAACCTACTTAAACATAGGATTTAAATCAATAATACATTTAGTCCACGTTATTGTTTTGACCAGCACATTTACAATGAAATTTAAAATACAAAAATTTACAAAACCAAAATAGACACTTACTATTATACTTTAAGTGATTTTGCATTGATTATATGTCTTTTAAAAAACAATGCCAACAAAATATCATTGGAAAAAAAAAATTGCACAAACATGACACACGTGTTGGTGAACTACACACGATTTTAGTAAATTGCCTAATCAAAGATATAGTGGTAGATGACAACTACACTACTAGTCTATTCATGCATATTCAAGAAAAAAACCCTTTTTTTTGCTTTTTTTACATCATTTATGACTAGCACACACACACGCCGTCAATTTACGAAGTATTTCAATTCGAGTAGACTGCAAAATCCTTTTTCAACTAAAATCTTTTGGTTAAATGTTCCCTAATTTTAAACTTGTCACTCATCATCATCAAGAAAATATTACCATAGTTAAATTGTTACATATATTAATTTTAATATAAGTAATGTATTTTAATGATCTGAAGATTATATAAGTAAGATATCTGTAGGATATAGTGGGACGAGTTCGAATCCGGGTTAAGTCAGTAGACCGTCCCTGAGTCCACCGAACTTTGATGGGTACTTAACTCATGTTAGGGAAAGTAAACTTTATCTCTATGATGAGGTCACAGAAATAAGTGAACTCTACTTCACTTGCCCCATAGACCGTCAGGTTTGAAAAGGGAACTTTATATTACTTTACTATTATAGGGCTGGTAAGAATGTCACCAACCAGTTCTACGTCTCAATAAAACCTGCATGAGCCATATAAATAATTGGTGACCCACTTACCAGCCCTATTTTACTTCAGCTTTGTTTGCGGGTTGTTTAAATTTGACGAATTTTCATCTCAACAAAGTCTAGAGAGTCAGACGAGCCTGTTATTGTATACCATTCAATTCCTTTACCAGCAACACGACTCGCCCATTCACCGTTGACGTTAACATCGTGACAAGCACCATACCACCAACCACCGCTACCGTAGTTCACAGCACAGTTTACACCTGACCACACATCGTTATCAGAGTCTAGGGTTGTAAACTTCATGCCGTTGTGATGACTAAACTGGTCTCTAACATTCCCATAACTGAATGACCTGAAGCTCATCTTATACTTTGCTACTTCATTTTCTACCTTAAAACCTCTATACTCAGCGAAGTAGTCTTTACCTTTATACTTCATGTCAAATCTGAGTTCATTATAACCCTGTGATAGACAAATATATACATATAGAATAAAAATCTTTGTTTTGTGATAGGTATATATATATATATATATATATATATATATATATATATATATATATATATATATATATATATACGTTAATAAATAGCAGAGATTTACTTACCGCTTATACATATTAAAACTCACCACGTATTAAAATAATATTAATACATGCAACATTTTACAATACATATAATATTATTTTTAGCGCTTTTGTTTTAGAAAAGAAAATGATTAAGATTGTTACATAGATAATAACCAGGGCCTGAACTACCATGCCGCGGATGGGGCGGGGAGAGGCAGCACGTTTTGGGGGCCCAATTTTGACCTTAACCTTAACCTTAACCTTAACCTTAACCTTAACCTTAACCTTAACCTTAACCTTAACCTTAACCTTAACCTTAACCTTAACCTTAACCTTAACCTTAACCTTAACCTTAACCTTAACCTTAACCTTAACCTTAACCTTAACCTTAACCTTAACCTTAACCTTAACCTTAACCTTAACCTTAACCTTAACCTTAACCTTAACCTTAACCTTAACCTTAACCTTAACCTTAACCTTAACCTTAACCTTAACCTTAACCTTAACCTTAACCTTAACCTTAACCTTAACCTTAACCTTAACCTTAACCTTAACCTTAACCTTAACCTTAACCTTAACCTTAACCTTAACCTTAACCTTAACCTTAACCTTAACCTTAACCTTAACCTTAACCTTAACCTTAACCTTAACCTTAACCTTAACCTTAACCTTAACCTTAACCTTAACCTTAACCTTAACCTTAACCTTAACCTTAACCTTAACCTTAACCTTAACCTTAACCTTAACCTTAACCTTAACCTTAACCTTAACCTTAACCTTAACCTTAACCTTAACCTTAACCTTAACCTTAACCTTAACCTTAACCTTAACCTTAACCTTAACCTTAACCTTAACCTTAACCTTAACCTTAACCTTAACCTTAACCTTAACCTTAACCTTAACCTTAACCTTAACCTTAACCCTAACCCTAACCTTAACCTTAACCTTAACCTTAACCTTAACCTTAACCTTAACCTTAACCTTAACCTTAACCTTAACCTTAACCTTAACCTTAACCTTAACCTTAACCTTAACCTTAACCTTAACCTTAACCTTAACCTAAACCTTAACCTTAACCTTAACCTTAACCTTAACCTTAACCTTAACCTTAACGTTAACCTTAACCTTAACCTTAACCTTAACCTTAACCTTAACCTTAACCTTAACCTTAACCTTAACCTTAACCTTAACCTTAACCTTAACCTTAACCTTAACCTTAACCTTAACCTTAACCTTAACCTTAACCTTAACCTTAACCTTAACCTTAACCTTAACCTTAACCTTAACCTTAACCTTAACCTTAACCTTAACCTTAACCTTAACCTTAACCTTAACCTTAACCTTAACCTTACAAAAACTTGTTGCATTGGAGCCTTTTATTCTAGTTCCGTGATGATAGAAACGCATCGCTAGATTAAACAAAAGTATGAATGCCAATTGTAGTAAATTATCATTCACTTCCCTAATCAGTTATTCACTGCTAGTCAACAAAACCCTCTCCTCTGAAATGCATTACCATAGTTATGTAATTACTGTCCTCACCTTTAAATTTCAACATTTCACCATATCTATCCGTCTCCTATTCATAACCCTAAGCTTTATCTATCGCTAAACCTTTTATACATTTCTCAATGCACTGGTGTCCGTTGAATAATAACATGGGTTAGTGTAATATTCGGGTTTTTTGTCGAGTGGGAGTAATTTACAGGGGTAGTTAATCTGAGGGTAATAATATGGGATTATGACTTGGGGATAATTACAGAGGGTTGGTAGGCGAGAGATGTAATATTATATCCTCAGCTTTGCCTTGACCATTAAAACTAAATCAAGCCCACTAAAATCAAAACATTATTTCTAGAGTTGAGATATTAAAAAATATAAGTGTAGGCCCTATCTCATCTACACTTCCTGAGATTATACAATAATATGAATAATGTGATATCTTGCTATGATTTCGAAAAGACTTATGTTTACCCATTGGAAAATATTTTTAAAATATTTTTTATAGACTGCTTTTGAGAGTATTATACACGAAATTATACGTGTCATATTAGTTATTACAATGTATTTTACACTTAATACATGTACTACATTTTAAGAAGATACTTCATTGAAAATGACGTAGAAGAAACTATGATCAAATTGAAAAACTGATGTTACTACGACCCCATGCTTTGTGAGCCAGTCATCATAGAACTTAAACAATCAAGCTAGTGTATACATATATTGAATAATTTGGTTTTTACAATTACAAACTAGGTAATAGCATGTACATCGTGCAGTGTGTTTGTTGTACTTTATACTCCCATAAAATAAATTACCCAGTGTAACTTTGTAATGTTTTAGTACGAAGAAATTCTGTTTCTATGCATTGTTTTCAAGAAGCCATTATTTTCTTACCAAATGTGTCAAATTAGAAATGACGTTATTTCCGATCCAAAAGTCTCCAGAAGTTGAGCCAAATCCATTTTTATAATCGTCCCAAGTTCTTGCAAAATTCACATCACCTTTGATACGTCTCTGTAAGAAATAAGGGTAATGCAAAAATAAAGCTTTAAGCAAGCTGATTTGATTGTTTCCAAAGATTAATTGTGTTTCAACTTACTTTAGCTGGTGTCTTTTGATGTCGATATAACCTATTATTATCATTTTTTATGACATTTTTTTCTTTAGATCGTGGTTAAGCGTCTATTATTTTGTATCATACATGTGTTTTCAATGGAGGAATAAATAAATCAAAATTGTTAGAAAAAAATATAGGAAAAAACTAATTTGGTAAATGTTTAAGAATGATTTAAATGACAAAACACCTGTATAACAATCCACCCTCCACCGTCAGTTAGGGTATCACATAATGTTCTGTTGACATCTACTCCAGCTGTTGTCATGTCCGCCAAAACACGATCGTTCATGATTGCACATTTTAACTTGAGAAAAAATGTTTCGAATATTTTCTAATTATTATTAGTTGAATTATTATTAGTTGAAACGAAATTAATTGAAAACATATGTGTTCAATCACAGGTTGACATTTCTCTACTTTGCTTTAGTAATAATAATGTTATTATCTAAAGCAAAATTTTCGCCTAGCAAAGCAAAAGACATCCACACCCAACAACTTATATACATACACGACTATATATATATATATATATATATATATATATATATATATATATATATATATATATATATATATATATATATATGCTAGCGTAGCCGTCCCCGCGCGTTGCCGCTGGATTAGAAGAAAGTCCGACGAAAAATATAAGGGTTTCTTCCATGCGTGAACAATCCTAAATTCTTAGACTCGTGACTTTGTTTTCTAAAAGTGAGTTATTTAAATGTAAACAATGCCATATCAAGACATTGGTTTACCTACACTCAGCCTCAAACTTTCGATTTGCACCCCTCCCTCCTTTTAAACTTTTGATTAGCACCCCCCCCCCTTGAACTTTTGATTTACACACACACCCTCGAACTTTCAATTTGTTTTTCCAACCCATTTGGCGCCCCCCTAAGGTCGGCGCCCGGGGACTTATGTCCCCCCCCCCTCACTACGCCTCTGATTGGGACGCGGGTTTACCTACACTACCGCATGAAAACCTTGAGTGTACATTAATCACTCACCGAAATAATATGGTAGAGCACACTTCGGTGACCGCCTCTGTGTCAGAGACGTAGAGGGGCGCTCTCAGGAGTCCCCCCCCCAGGTTACACTACTGCATAGCCGCGGCGTACCACCCCTGGCTCCATAAAACTAAAAGGCGCCATCGTGCCTAATAGCATCCCGTTAACAATGATGCAGATTGCGTCATTCGCTAAAGTGACACAAATGAACAGGATTTGTTATTTAACACGTAAAAAAATTATTTGACGTGTTTTAAACATCATTGTGAGTGATGCAATATGTTAGCGTTAATAATGGTCTATTCTTAGATGCTCGATCTCAATTTCTGATTTGATTATCTAAAAATAGATGCTAATTGTATCATTTGCAAAAAGACTTCTTCTTCTTCGTTCTTAATTTTTAGTGTTGGAAGGTATCGAGTCTTATCTGCCAGAGGTTTGAACTCGAGACCTTTTTCGAATTTATCAACCATGAGCTTTTGCCGACTCGACCACGCCTCCATCACAATTAAAGATACGTGTCAACTGGTTATGCGCCATAGAGGCCATTGACTCCGATTTCAGCCTCGCAAAGTGACGAAACTGTTTGGAATTTTTTACGGACAAAAAGAAACATCCCAGTTAATAATCTAACCTTGGTCAATTTTTCTGATTATTAAAATAAAACGCATTACATGGCTTTCAGCGGCCCATGTGAGCCTTTAGGGGCCGAAACAGAAATTTTTATTTGCCGCCTAATCGCACCCTACCAGGGCGCCAGAGGCCACGCCTGATTCAATTTAGTAAGCATTTGTAACGCCCCATCCTATCCATTGTCTATCACACTGTTTAGACCGAACGTAGTCACCATAGAGCTCACGGGAAAGACCAGGGCGCAAAATCGCATCCTGCCGGGGGCCACTCAGGCAAAATTAAATCCCCCCTTCCCAACCATCCACCCACCCCTATTCTCCCCTTCCACCCCAGAAACCTTCTCGGGAGTATTAATCAACTCCCTAAAGTGTTATGGCACGGGGATAAACTGTGTCGAGCCGCAATTGTCTTTTATTTTTATATACCATATATAGAGAAAAATCCAACGATTCCGTGGCGCTGCCCTTGCGAAATTAATTTTTTTTTACAGAAACCTTCCCAGGAGTGTTCTAATCAATTCCCCAAAGTTTGATGGCAATCAGAATAACGCCGTGAAACCGCAATCGACATTTATTTTTATATACAGTATATTGAGAAAATCGCACCCTCGTATGGCGCCGCCCTTGCGAAAATGATTTTTTTTTTACAAAACCCTTCCCTGAAGTGTTCTAATCAAGTCCCTGAAGTTTGATGGCTATCGGATAAACGATGTGAGACCGAAATTGACTTTTTTATTATCCCATATATTGAGAGAAAACAAATTGCGCCCTGCAGTGCGCCGCCCCTGCGAAATTAAAAATGATTTTTTTTTTATAAAACCCTTCCCCAGATTGCCCCAATCAACTCCCCAAAGTCTCATGGCTATCGGATAAAGGTGTCAAAATAAAATCGACTTTTATTTTTATATACCTTATACAGAGAAAAATCGCACCCTCCCGTGTCGCTGCCCCTGCGAAATTAAAAGTGATTTTTTAACAGAACCCTTTCCTGGAGTGTTCTAATCGAATTCCTGAAGTTTGATGGCTATCAGATGGACTTTGTGAGACCGCAATCGACTTTTATTTTTATATACCATATATAGAGAGAAAACAAATAGCGCCCTGTCGGGGTGCCACCCCTGCGAATTTGAAAATGTATTTAGCGCAAAAACCTTCCCAGGAATATTCTCAACATCTTCCCAAAGTTTCATGGCAATCGTGTGAACGGTGTGAATTGATGTTAGTAAGTGTTAAATTTGTTTTCCAAATATAGCCAATTTAATATGTCATTTAGTTTGCTAAACATTGTCGAGACAAGGAATTTGTGATGACGCAAGGTTGCGTCGAGCTCAGGTAGATAGCAGAAGCAGGCTATAGCAAGTTGCTCATACTAGTCAGAGAGTGAGACCAATAAAAATACGTGAACTGACCGGTCACGTGGGACGGTCAGCTGACCACTGAAGCGTGGGCCACTGTTAGGCCGGAGATCATGATTAGTTAGCGTGGGCAGTTGATAGGTAGCTAGCGAAGAGTAGAGAAGGTGTTAGGAAGCGGTTAGAGACGGTTGTAATTTGCAGAGCTAGAGAACAGTTAGTGTTGGGATTGGTTATGGGAGTGCGTAGTTAGTAGTATAGTGAACAGTTAGTAGTAGTAGTACAGTAGAGAGTATAGAATAGGCTAGTGAGGTAGAAATATGATTTTATACATTTGAATAAAGAACTTTGTATTTGAAACTTGAATTGTGTGTTATTGGATTCATTCGTTCCGCCTTCTTAAAAATCCCCACCCTCACAACTGGTGCAACAAGAAGAACTACCAAACAAAGATTCATTTTGTACCATCACAGAACTAATTTATGTTAATGCGCGCTCCTGGCACAGCAGCAGCTTTAGTGGTGATATTATTTATTTTGAAGAAACTGCATTAAATTTTAATTTATTGATACTTATTGATTTTTAAATTTTCTTTTAAAAATAATTAGCCGCTAACATTTGTCAGAATATTATCTGAATATAAAAAACAATATTTAAAAACATCCTTGTTTTTCTACTTTTGACGCTACTAAGAAAGTATTGTTGTAAGTTTAATTCGAATACATACAACGCCTAAGTAAAATACTTTAATTTTTAACTACTTGGGAACATTGCTATATGCAATGGCTGAACTGGAAAATGCCAAATTGGGACTTAGAGGAGTTAGAAGATATACAAACTCTATTTTACTTACGTGTTCGCTTCCGTTGAGAACAGGGCTACCGTGTAATCTACTGACTAGGACACAAACTTGATTTGATTTAGTAAACAGGTTTTGAATGGTGTTGTTAATCTTCTCAATTCTGGCGTGTATTTCAGTGTCAGTATTGTTTAGTAGCGATACAGCTGAACCTAAATCCTTCATTGTCATTGACTGTGTCTCTGTGAGTATTTTGTTGCTTTCCCTAAGTTGTTGAATGCTTATATTTTGACGTTGTTCCAATTTCGCTGTGCTATTTTTTAACATTTTGTTGGTCAAATTTAGTAAATCTTTTTTGAAATCTTGCATTGTTTTTGTTAGAATTTCATTTTGATTTGACATATCCGATAAACTCTGTATATCAAATGATAAATTAACCAAACTGTAGTTCAGTCTCTCCAGTTGTTTCTGTAAAATATTGTATAGAATTGATACGTTTTGCACAGACCTATTATGTATTTGAAGTGTTTTATTGTTTGCTTCTATCTGTTGATTTGTTTTTAGTAAGTTCTCAGTTAAGTTGTATTCAAAATGCGTGAGCTCTTGATTTGTGCTATTTAAGGTGTTCAATCTGTAAACAACGTTGTTCATTTGATTTTCAAGTCTCTGAATTGTAGATCCTTGGGCAGATAACAATCTATTTAATCTACTTTCCATCGCATTGGTAAGGTTAACTAAAGTTGTATTATAACTAAGGTTAGAATGTTTGTCATCTGTTAAAAACTGTAAATGCATCTTTAAGTCAGCACTGTTTAACTTATAAGAATATTTAAATGTTTTTAGAAACTCTAACATTCTATCAATTGTTTTATCAAACTCTGAAGTTTTAGCCTCTATGGTTATCAACAAAAGCGGCTTGAAATTGTCTTGGTCAACAGTTTTGGTTTTATTTTCTTTCATCTCAATGAGACCGCTTCTATTTATGTAATACACATCACATCCAAACACTGCACTAAAACAATCAGAAGGTTTTGCAAATAATACGGTCAACTCTCCAAACACATTTGAAAACTTTCCATCAACTTTTGATTCAGTTACTTTATAATCTCGAACTCTTGAATCTGATTCTGATACAGACGCCAACACAATCTTCCCCTCTAATTCACTGATCCTATAGACTGACATGTTGACAAGAGCGGAGATTTCATTATCTTCTCTTGTGTTCTTTACACAATGTAACTTGGCACACAATAAATCTTTATCCTCCATATAATATTCACTTTGTAATGAAATGTCAAGTCCTGAAATGTATTAAAATAAACCAATAAAATTTGACAATTTAAATTAGTTAAAAATAATTCTTTTTAATACAATCCATGCACAACAGCCTTCGAATAATCATTTCTTTATCAATTTCTTCATTTTAAATTATTTCAAAACAAATATATTTATTAAGTTTTAAAACAAAAAAATTGTATTTTATTCAGTAAGTTGTATTATTGTAATCCTCGGTAAATTATTATTCAATATGTGTTAGTTTATAAATAACTTGGACAAAGCCAAGAATTGAAAACAGGTATGTATTTTAATCCACGTTTGTGTAAACACACTACTTATAAATAAACATATACACAACTAAATACAAAACTACGTTTAAGCGTTCACTAGTGGTATTAAACGCATCATAGGAAAAAAATCATCTCTAAAACCCCAAAAACTTCTACCTTGCTAAGGCTAGCGAATCGCATCCAGAAAAAAAAAAGATGTATTATATTGTGTTCTACAAATATAATGGCAATTAACATAAAACAGGCAATAATGAAGTTTGTTGCGGGCGTTGATGTCGTAAAATACATTGAAAGTACATTCGAAGGAACAAATCATAATGGCCCAGAACCTGAAACAGGCAAAAACTTTTCAGAAGAAAGTGATTGATTGAAAATAATAACAAGAAAAAATGTTTTGAAAATGATGTCAATGAACACTTGGTTGGTTACTTGTACATCAAGAAAATACTTCTTTCTTAAAGCAACATATTTTAAATTATATAAAATCAGTATATTTGGACAGATTTTACATTTTACTTTTCGATTGATTTCAGCTGACAAAAATCTTGAGTTAGGTTCCGTGAGGTGATAACCTAACTCTAGCTATAGAACAGAATTCAAGACTGTACTCATCATTCTGTCCTTACATGTATAGATTAAAAGAAAATGACCAATGTGTTTTCTTTGTCCTTTGACAATGATTTTATCAAGCGAATAATTGTATACCGCTGTGTTTGGTCACAAGGTAATTTTTAGAAATGATTAACATTTGTAATATTGTTTTTTCAAGCTAAATCATTATCAAATTTATAAATAAAATAAATTGGGAGTGATCTCCCTATAACTTTCTCCATACTCTTATATAACACTACAAGGGAAGACAACACCATTTTTATTTTTTTCTTAAATAGTGTCTCGTTAAAAAAAAATTGCTCACCAAGTAAACGGCTAACAGTATCTGAATAATATTTCGGAATATTCATACTTCATATTGAGAAATTGGAAATAGCATAAATTACTATTTCCGATCATCATTTACTACTATCTAAAACAATGATCAAGTTATAGTCTTTTGAAAAATTGAAATTAGAATACGTTCCGATTCCGTTTACCGGAAACGCTGAAAAGTTGAATCCCAACTACACATTTGACAAAATTTTTAAATTCACGCATTTTTTTTCCAGTACTTTAAATTTAAAAAAATTTACAATAGAGTTTCATAATTTAAGCCATTGCGCACCCAACAAACGTGTTTACGCGTATATAATAGTGCGAATAATTGATTAAAAAGTATAAGTATTATAAGTTCAGTGAATTAATTAAATAAAAGATTGCTAATTATAATTTTCTAACAATAATTTCCTCGTACACATCCGCATAATTTGCATTCACATTTTGCTAATCATATTATTGCAACACTAATTACTTCTAGGCCGTTCGTAGCTTTGCATTCACATTTTTTTTATTAGAGTGAATTTAATTTATTTTTAAATTACCCCCCCCCCCCCTATGTCAAAATAAGAAAAAAGAGTTAAATTAATTTGATTTTTCTACCCTCCTGTTATTATGTTATTAAAATGAATCCACTTTTTCTAAGAATATAAACGAAAATGATATTTGACATTGATCCTTTTAATATGTTTTAGCAATGTGCGTGTATTTAATATTTTCCTTACGTTATGCAAAAGAGTAAAAACTATAAAATAACTTTATGTAGTTATATAAACAAACCCTACTCTATCTATCTATATACTACTAAAACTCAAGATTGTTTACATGTTTGAATATTTATTTATTTTTTTTTTTTTTTTTTTTTTTTTTTTTTTTTTTGTCTGATTGACTACTGTAGAGAATCTACGCTATATGGAGAGCTGTAAAATATTATGTAGGTAGAGAACACATTTTATTTTCCGACAGTCTGTTAATCACAAATTTATTTAACGCCGTTAATTAGTTTATTGATTAATTCATAGGTAGATTAACCACATTAATTTTAAAAGTTTAAAACATTGACTTTATTTGTGGGAATAGTGATGTCATATTTATTTGTTTACTTTTTAGTACAATAAAATGGGGGCTCCATCGTGGTCTATTCATCTTTAACGCGTTATAAAGCTAATTTTCTGTCGGCTATAACTTTAACAATACGTCCGTTTGCTTTATTTATTACGTTCCAACACTTATATCAATTTTCAACTGTCTTTTTTATTTATTTTTACAATAAATTTTCTCTAGTTCTACAATATGTCCAAGAAAGTTATTTATAGATCTTGATCTAGAATCTAGGTCAAACCAAAGATTAATTAGTTAAAAATACAATCCATTTTAAAATCATAATACATTTTTGAGGTTCTTTATTAAACTACTTTTGTCCTTAAATACTTAATATTAATCTTTGTGATTTATCTATCTAGATCTAGAATAGATTAGGTCTAATCTAGAATCTAGATCTAGCAAGAGTTACGCAAAAACTAGACTTAAGCAAACCAGCCGTATAATCTAGATAATTCTCTCTAGATGTAGAAAATAATGAGTTTCTACAGTAAACTATTTCAGACCTTCATTATTTTATATAAATCTTTGTTTGTTTAGCTATGAAATAGGCTAATTCAAGATCAAATTTAATTTGAAAGTTACTAGATCTAGACTTAGTTCTAGATCTGAATGCGCGTAAAACAAGTTGCATACGGAGACTCAAAGTATATTAAATAGCACGGGATCTAGACACATCACGTCAATGTTAAAAAAGAAAATTTCATTTTTTTAAGAATATTTTTGTGAATGATAATGTTGCCTATCTGAACTTGGCGGGATACAGGGCAGGTGAAATAGAGTTCATCTGTTTCTTTGTCCTAAGCATATGAAGGGATAGTGTGGCCAGAGACATGCTAGACCGGAATCGTTTTTTTTAAACGATAAAAACATGTTGTCTGAGACTTGACGGGACACTGGGCAGGTGAAGTAGAGTTGAGTAGGTCACATGTGACGTCAATATATGAAGGGATAGTGTGGTCAGACCTATGCTCAGCCGAAATCAGTGTTTTGTTTTCAAAAGATAAAAAACGTCTTTTTGAACGTGGGGTCTGGTTATTTTGTGATGATAAATGACAGATGTGATGTCATTTATGGATGACCCCCGAAACCCACAGTTATCCAAGGGATGACCGGGTAAGTCTAGTTTCTTATAATAAGACACTGCAATGCACTGAAAAGCACTGCATCGTGCGATGGTTACTTTTATGGTTCCAAAAGCTACAGCGATGACGGAAGGAAGGAAGGAAGGACTGTCACACTCTCAGCCCGCTTATATTATAGATACACATATACACACACACACATATATATATATATATATATATATATATATATATATATATATATATATATATATATATATATATATACATACATACATACATACATACATACATACATACATACATACATACATACATACACAAACACACATACACACATACACATACAGATATACGACTTAGGGGGGGGGGAGTAGAACGACGAGATTTGTAAAAATACCGATTCAGATTTGTTGCGGGATTACAATAGGCAACTTCTTTCATACTTCGTATACGAGAAAATGAAAACACACAATTTGTTACCTAAAACAATTCACAAATAATCAAAGATACATTTCACCATCTTATTGACGTTGCAGTTATATACACATGTACTCACCACAGGTAAACATGATATTTACAACCAACAGAGCCGTCACTAAAACAGCAGACATTGTAGAGTTGTGTAGTTCTGTATCAGACGAACTGGAGACTTCTCTAAACCGCTGCTTCTGTATACTGGTGAGAATATCGCCACCTATTTATACCACAAAAGTACATTGAAGAAAAAAAAACGTTAAATTAGACGTGTTGATAAAATTGTGTGTGAAATTGCCTTCACCAAATTCCCACGCAAAAAAACAACTATGATGAAACGTCAATAGAGTTCATGGATCTCATATTTTTAAAAAATTGACAACATTTTATGAGCCCGACTTTTATTTTAGAGGGGATTTCTATGTACCTTGTTTGTTGTGTTATAATATTTAATTTAGCATACAGATGATGTATTTTAAAGGAAAAAATGATCATTAAAACTTTACCTAATATCATTTGTACTTATTTGATTTTTGTTAAGGAACGCATTTCCTTAAATGTCCATGTAGTGGGCATGTTTGTCAACTATCTTTTTTTATAACGGTGGACACTAAGCAAAAACATGGCGATCAAATCGGATGTTTTAAAAATTCAACTAAATGGTAACAACCTATAAAGCAGAAATGTTTGCCTCTAAATATTTAACGCACCTAAAAACAACAATCGCACTAATAGAAGAACTAGTTTTAAGCTGAATTACCACACAGCGGTTTAATTTAATTCAACAAAAAACATATTCAAATACAAAGTTAACTATTACAATTTTGAGAATCATTGGTTTTGAATAAACCGACATATTTAATGATTATACCTGCGTGTGGGAACACAGCTTCACACCAGTATCACGTGACATGCAAGGAGTAAAAACAACTCAATCATCAAGATAAGAGCTCAATTGTCTACATTATATCACTTGGCCTTGTGATTTACATAACAGACATGCGAATGTTAAATGTCAAGGCAACCTTTGACCCTGCAGTAAGAATGTATGTCAAACTTTTATTCCCACGATTTAAATAGTGGTTCTCAAAATTACTTAAAATGAAAATAAGTATACAAATATAACAAGAAAAATTGGAAGTGTCAATCGGACTAAGATATTACGTTTATTTTATATGCTTTATATCAAACAGATTTGTGTATACCCAAACAAAATAAACAAGGACGAGTAAACTTAGCATTTTCATGAAAATATTTTTTTTTATCATTATTCATACCAAAATAACTATGCGTCGCTTAATATTAACAAATACCTTCTGTACTAGAGAATAGTAGCAATAACCCAAAAAATGTCATGGCAAAGTTTTAGAAAAATTTTGTACAAAGTAAATATGTGTTGCACTAAAACTTTACATGACTTTTTATATTGACAATACAACAAGATTTTTTAAAAACTAAGTTCGTCAATTTTATGAACATTTTATTAAACGTACTACTACAGATTATTTACAACTTATACTTGTATCTTGTATTTGAGAAAGTAAAATAAATATTTTAATCTAATGTGGGGCATCAGAAAATGAATTTAAAAATTAATGAATCTTATGAATTTTACAGCTATAAACACATCTCAGGTGTTAGAACGCTGAGCAATATATATATATATATATATATATATATATATATATATATATATATATATATTGTGTAATATGCTATGATTTCTTAATCATGCTTTTGTTCTATCTCATATGTTAGTAAAAATACTCGTCACCATGTATGATATACTGGTCACATGAGTCACCCCCACATGTTAGGTGCTGGTCACATGACTAGCCCCTACGTTTAAATTCTAATCACATGACTCACGTCGTTATTCCAGATCCATATTGTGCTGCTGATCAGGTGAAATGAATACGTTATTTCCTTAGCTACATGCTTTTTAAATGTCAAATTTAGATCAAAACTTTTATCTTGATTGCATTGCTACATAAATCAGCTTATTTATATCAGCAGTTTTACCGAAATTTTAAAGTTCTCATGCCAGAAATCAATTGCCCTAATTGTTGCGTGAAGACATACAAAGTAAGTTATAGGCCTACATGTTTTTTTAACAACTCACGTGATAGAAACATCTCAATGACAAACTATGAGTGTAGAACGTAGGTACCCGCATTCATATCTTGATGCATGTGTTGTTTTGTTCGGTTCATGTAAGACGATACCAGTGGGAAACGTAATTTTCGCGCGATGGTGCTGCCAGATAATTTTTACATGCAAAAAGTTATTTTTAAAAAAAAAATTTAAAATTATGTCTTGTGCACAATGTTTCTAAATTTGGTTTTGATTAATTCTATTTTAGAAAATAATATTAATGTATAGAATATTTGAATATTTTGAAATGTATTTTCACCATAATAGTGTTTGCATCTAATAAAAGGCAGTTAAATCTGCGAGTGAAGCCTGGTAGCCGTATATTTTCTTAACTTTATCTTTTTGTCGCTGAATACTACAGCTTGTAATTTGTATTAATTTTACTTCTACCTCCTTTGGTTGCCTGTCGCTTGACCTACTTTTTTTACCGTTGTCATGGTAATGGTGGCTGCCGAAAATGAAGATACCGTGATTCCTTTTTTTTTAACAATGTTTAATTGTCATTTCAGAAATATAAAATATTTCAGAAATATAAAAAATAACTTAATCGAGAAAACCGCTAATATAGCCCGCCCATTTTGCCCGCCGTGTATTTGAATGGGGACAAATCTAGCAGACGACACATTTCTACCTGAACGGCAGTGAAAGACCTATAGTGTCGTTACAACAACACTCCGTAAAAAACTAACCAACTTATCACTAAAAATCAGTCATACTTTCGTATCTATTTGAAAATAAACGCGTTTTTTCCACAAAGCATTGCCTGTACTAACGACTAAAATTGATAAATAAAATTGCTATCAAATTAAATATAAATAAATGTAATTGTTTTAAATTGTTTAATTTATATTGAACTAACCGTTGATGCACAAAATAAAAGCTCGGCGCCCATATATATATCACGTTACACTTTACTTTCTATGCTATTTACTGTATAAAAAATATTACGAAATTAATATTGTTATAACCTTTCACTGAGGCAAGTATTGACAACCTCCTACATCTCAGGTGCAAGTCATATGATTCACTCCTACATGCTGGTCACATGATTCACTCCTACATCTCAGAAGCTGGTCACATGACTCACCACAACGAGATTATAGACAGAGACCTAACACTCCGGTTCCAGGTGTTAACATATGGAGCAAGCCCGCATTTCAGATCAACATCACGTGACTAATACACCCATCTTATGTGGCAAGTCTACTCTACAGCAGACTCAAATGTTAACACGAGATCACTAAATATTCCCCTTATACGCCGTAAACTTTCTTGTTTGAACTTTTTCTATGAAGTAGACGTATGGTCTCTAAAAAAGCGCACGATTTTTAATATAAAATATCGATTTATCAGAGTTTGCATTACTACTTCACTTCGTTACTTCATAGCAGCAGTTTTACCGTAATTTCCAAATGCACGTGCCAGACCTACCTTGGCCTAGTTTAAAGATGTAGGCCTATTTGTGGGAAAATCGGGATAAAGTTTTAAAGTTTGTTTTGACCTTCTCACACGTAAGAAATGCGGAAACAAGGTAATTAAAAAGTCTAGTGACAATTTTAGCGCAATTTCCTTATGTTATCTAAAAATAGCTCTGTCGTAGCGTAAATCAAGAGCAGGGTTAGTAAAACCATTGGTTAAAATACATGTTTTATTTACAATAGAGTTACATGACTAAAAACCATTGCGCGCCTGGCTACTGAACGTGATGACGCAGCCATTGAACGTGATGGCGCAGCTATTGAACGTGATGACGCGTGTGGTGTGGTTGGATAAACATGCCTACTAATTCGGTCCAAATTTTAATTAATTCAAAACATTTTTTGTGACCGAACGAAAGGATATTTTTGAAAACTTTCTTCGGCAATATTGTTCTAAATTATAGCAGGAATCGATTGGTAAATGTTTCAAGTCGCTAAGTGGTCTGGTTACCGAGATATGGGCCAAAAACTGCATTGTTTCGAGGTTTTATGGCTTTTCCGGGAAATCCATGAAAGAAACCCGGAATTTTTTGGCCCAATATCATCCTGGTAACTCGCTTAACATAATTGCTTTGGAACTAGTCCTCGATATTGCTTCGTTGAGGAGGAGATACGACTTAAAGCTGCGGACACATATTCATACATTCATACATTCATACATCCAGAAATGACGGGTTAATAAACGCAATTCTCCAGAATGGAAATTGCGCTAAAAAAATATCAAGAACAAGATCACCTGTGTAAAATGTAGTCAGTGTTTCTTCCAGACATTATTCTCCTGAGGGGGACCACTAGATATTTTCGGAGGGCGGTATACATTTTTCAGAGGGGTGGGGGAGGGGCGGACACTTGTAAAAGTGTATGTTTACTATATAAATTCCATCTCGTTCAAGGGAGGGGGGGCGGTAGACTTTCTTCGGCTCCGCCCCTCCCGGAAGAGATGCCTGGAAGAAACTTTGATTGTAGGTTCCCACGTTCTAATATTGATGCTCAGGTTGATAGCCAAAGAAGGGGCACGTAGCATTTTCACACGTTGGCATTATAACCGTTCGACCGATGGTGCTGCAAAAAAATGTCTGCATGTAAATTGTTGGTTGTTTTTATTTTTAATTATGTCTTGTCCTCAAGGGTTCTAAATTTGTTTTTGATTAATCCTTTTTTTTTAGAAAATAACAATAAAGTATAGAATACTTGAATACTTAGAAATGTATTTTTATCATAATAGTGTTTGTGTATTTAGTATTTATTTCACTTTACACCGTGTATCTCTATTACGGCGAGATCAAATGTGTTGTAAAGCACGATGATAAAGTCAATGTCAATTGTAGGCTCGAATGAGATTAACAGTGAAATGAAAGAATTGCTATGTCAAATGTTTACCATAACTAAAACACGGTAAGGTAATCCTATCACAAAAATCAACTGTTAGAATGTAAAGAGAAAACTTGGGCTATGTTGATAATTATTTGTGATCTCAATAAAAAATCAAACACAGGTTAGTGTCATAGGGTAGATAGATAGATTTAGACTAGACTAGTAGAGGTTACCGAGGACGGTGTGAACTTGACGGTAGACGATTTGGTGCGAGAGTATGTGAGTGTGACGTGAGCATGACGTGACAATGTTACCGATAACATAGGAAACAGCAGTGAAGACAGTTGGGGGTTAGCCATTGTGGAAAAAAGAAGTATTTTGGTATTGTGTAATAGATCCGTTAGTGTGTGACAATAAAGTTAATGCTATTTCATGAACGAAGTTGTTGACATCGTTAATTAGTGTCTGCGTCTAAGAGTGTTTCCCATCCTCCTCACATGAGTATAGTTGCAGTATGAATAATAGAAGTCAGAATATAAAGATGATATATAACGCATACTTCATCCCTCC